AAAAAAAAAAAGAAAAAGGGGAAAATATAATATTGTATGCAAGTAAAAGTAGGGAGAAGAAACAACAGTAAGCTTACAGGAAGATTATACTGTCATTAAATTGCAAATAGAATTTATTGGTTATAAAGTGAGAAATTAGAACCGGAAACAACGAAAATCATAAATTTCGTCAAATTCTTTTCCTAGAAGTCAAGCAGCAATATTCCATTTTTTTAGTGCAACTACTTGAGGTTCTCATTGAAACCATTAAACGAAACGCGTACAGAGTACCTCTCCAAAACAGTTTTCTGCACTATTCTTGTTCCGCTAGATGTTGTTGTCATGTTGCTACACACGTGCCGTCGACAACCTTTGAACTCGCTTTCTCGTTTAAAGACTAACGCTAGAAAAATTTTATATTAACTGCAAACAGTTCTTTCCTTGAACAATTAGGTGTTAGCTGTGTTAGACATTATTAGCTGACTCATGCAGTTGAGAGACATCATTAAGATAATAAGAAGAACGCTAACAAGCAGTATCTATGAAAATGCGGTCATCTAAACGGAGTTACTACAACCTGTGATCGAATTGTTTTTGTGATATTCGCCAAGTAGCATACCCTTTGCTTCTGTATCTGGTAAGAACTATGCAACTGTACTCAGCTGCAATCTAAAGCACCTACAGCCTTCACTAAGATACTGGCTTTTTTCCTGCATTTCGTCATTTAAATGATACAAGCAAATTGCAAAACATTTTAGGATATTTCATACAAGTTTAAGCAGCAACAGAAAAAAAATGACCACTTCACAAAGGTGGTCAACTTTGAAATTCCCCACAAATATTCTTTTAAAACAAGAGAAATGAAAATCAATTTCCTGTTCCATTGTCTAATTCCTTAAGCAAAAAAAAAGTTGACTAGTCCTACTAAAAACTTCTTTGAAGTCTTTAGAAAACAATTTGTTGAAATTTCGAGCCACCATCATTTTTTTCTATAACGCAATTATAGTAAATAAAGAGCAGTGCTAAACTACTATTACCGCTAACTTAATTCTCAAAAACCTAAAGGTAGCCGTCATTGTATTGCAATGAGGATTGCTCTCCTAAAATGCCAAAAAGAATAATTTTTATTGAATTTTGTAACACTTTTGAAATAAGTTATTTATCTCCTTAGTTTATCTTCAAGAATTTTTTAAAAAACGGTTTTCTGTAAGATAAAACAGCCTTTTTTTGTAAAAATAAATATAAGCTAAATAATTTTTGGTAAGATATATTTTTTGTTTTTGATATTAAGAATTTTTAAGAAATGCTTTGAAGCAAATGGTTTAGCTGGACAGATCAATCGACTACTCCATATACACTGATGAAATTAGCAATCATTATTTCTGAGTCAAAAGATGGATAGCAAACTGTAAATGACTTCACGTGAAATGATTTTTTAAGAAAAAAGTGTAGAGAAAACAGCAGACATTTATATTTTTTTGCATGACCTTGGTCAGAAAGCTTGAAATTTACTAGTTTTGACGGTTTCAAACTGTTACGCGTTTGGTGTTACTCAATACTCACAGATTCAAGAAACTCGTTTTTTCGGCAACTTCTTTCCGGACACTATACTTTTCAAAATTATTTTTTTTCTAATTCAAAAAGCTTTGAAAACTTTTCAAACTTAATGACTACCAGCTTCAGATGTAAGTTTGTTGCAAACTCACAAAAATTAGCAAGTTATTTCTACTACTTGCCGAGTACTCAAGATTCCATTTAAAAAAACTTTCTAGTAGGCCTAAGTAAAAAGTACTCTCTATGCACGCAACTTTTTGGCTAAACTTATCTTGAAATTACTA